CGCACTTTCTTTTGCTATCGCTCAACAGATTGCGAGACAAGCTTCAAGAAACATTGTAGTATATCAGCACCTTTCACCAAAACCTGCATATTCAAAACGCTTAATGCTGTTGGCTAATTATTCATACATATGTCTACAAAGGCCCTGGATAAACGAGGCAACATGTTTACCGCGCGCGCATGTTTCCCCGATGTTTTCAAATTTAGTCACATGCGAAACATTGCTGGTGCAACAAATGTTGATTCTAAAGGCGCAAAAATGTCTTTGCTGTGCGACAGAAGCATTTCATACTTCCAAGACGCATGGAAACAACGTTCACCGATATTTCATCGTTTAGCCACAGGTAGCCCAAGCTTGGTTTCTGTGGTGTCCTGTYATAAGGAAATGTATGGAGATTCATCAAAAATTTCAATACAATCATTGAAACGTGAAATAAAGCCACGAAATTTTACCCGATCATTTACCCGATCACCCGGGTCGATTGCCGAAAGAAATCCGTTGAACTGGTGTACAGTGAGCTCCAAGTACGGGTCAGAACAAGCGAGGTAGTATGTGAATACAGGCAAATTTCATGGCTTAAAGACGCGAAGATTAATCTCTAATGCGACTTTCTCGGTTCTATAGGGATGTGAGAGAAGGGTAATGACTAAAATTTGGCGCTGGAAAGAAAATTCGAGGTTTCAAAGACCCGTGATGGTTCGCTTTTGGGACTCGAGTTTCCAACCTTCTCTAATTTCTTACTGGTGGGAAAAAAAATCTTAAAACGGGCTAAATTCAAAAAATAACCACGCAGAGCGAAAGAAGTGCTATTTCTCAATGATCGGGTAAAATTTCGTGGCTTTATTTCACGTTTCAATGATTTTATTGAAATTTTTGATGAATCTCCATACATTTCCTTATAACAGTACACCACAGAAACCAAGCTTGGGCTACCTGTGGTTTAGCAAGGGCGTAATAGACTCTTATACGTACACATGTATGTCGTGGTACATGCGTTCAGCTTCATGCTTGAGTAATGAGACAATGTTCTTTTCGGTAAGCTTATGTAGCAAATATATTTATTACGTTAATGATAAAAGGGTAAATTTGACAACTTGAAAAGATGAAAAAACTTACTGACGTTTCGGACGCTAGTCTTTACTCCGACGAAAGACTAGCGTCCGAAACGTCAGTAGGTTTTTTCATCTTTTCAAGTTGTCAAATTTACCCTTTTATCATTACTGTTTCATTAGAAACACCGACGCAGCTCACACTAGTTTTTAGCTAGTTATCTCTATTTATTACGTTATTAAGAAGCAAAATCTACAAATTATTCGTGCGGGGAGAGGTTAGAGTTGCAACTGGGGAGAACTGGATTAGGCTAGTGGGGTTAGTCCTTCAAGACAAAGTTTTTATTTTGATATTTGAAATTTCATTTTATCGATCTTGCATTACATAGTTTATTTCATTTAACCTGGTTACAAAGGTGATGAAGATTTGGTATAAAATTAACACTTGTGCAGCTGGAATAAAATATTCAAAAAAAACAGGTCAAAAGTCCTGAAACTTTCGAATTTTGTTCTACTTCATATTCCTGAAGATCAGCCAAGGTTTCGAAAGTTTGATATTTGAATATCAAAAAGTAGATGAAACAAAAAACTTCTTGTTCGATTTGTCTTTAAAACTTCCGGTATCTTAGAAACCTGGGCCGGTATTTTCTTTTAAATACTGCTGCATCCTCTACTTCTTTCTGTTCTTTTTCTTTCTCTTTTTCCTCTTCCTCCTTTTCTTCTTCTTCTTTTCCTTCTTCTTCTTTTTCTTCTTCTTCTTCTTTTCCTTCTTCTTCTTTTTCTTTTTCTTCTTCCTTTTCCTTGTTCTTGCTGTTGTGGGGTTTTACGGGTGCTTTTGCTTTCTCTTTGGCTTCCTTGGCTTCTTTCTCTGCTTTCTCTTTGGCTTCTTTCTCTGCTTTTTCCTTGGCTTCTTTCTCTGCTTTCTCTTTGGCTTCTTTCTCTGCTTTTTCCTTGGCCTCCTCCTCCTTTTCCTTATTTTCTTTTTCTTCTTCATGGTC